TAATGTATTCTAGTTACTGGGCCAGGCTCAGCTGATATACTCTGAAGGAGTTGATTTCACACTCCCAAGTACAGAATCAACCATCCCTGTAATATGTCCCTCGCTCAGCAGGATCTGACGCTGCCGTGTTGTACAGATATTATCTGTTTAATCCTCACCTCATGATATTATTGAATTTGGTATTGGTCACACAGTATGGTTTCCCTTTAATCAGTAAGGACTGTGGGGAAAGGAGAAAGTTAACCAGAAATCCCACGGGCATCATATTTAACTCCCATACAACATCTTGTTCTCAGAACTCAATAGAAGTTAAAAATAAAACCACAGTGATGTGTGTGGTTTCAATAGTCTGATGCCTGCTTTCTATGCATTTAACATTTTGAGCCAATTAAATACATAATTATCATTCCATCTTAAGTTCATTACATGGTGGTATTAATAATATCTTACTATATATAAAGCACTTTAAAATAAGACAGAATGGTAACGGCAACTTCTCTGTAGCCATTCAGTGCTGAAATTACCAGGATTTGTCTTTCTACCTTCTACTCTAACTCACTACACTTCAATATTTCAAGGAATTTTTTTTTTAAATTTAGATTTTTTATTTGAGATTTTTTTAAAAATATATTTTATTGATTTTTTACAGAGAGGAAGGGAGAGAGATAGAGAGTTAGAAACATCGATGGGAGAGAAACATCGATCAGCTGCCTCCTGCACATCTCCCACTGGGGATGTGCCCGCAACCCAGGTACATGCCCTTGACCAGAATCGAACCTGGGACCTTTCAGTCCGCAGGCCGACGCTCTATCCACTGAGCCAAACCGGTTTCGGCTCAAGGAATTTTTAAAACAGGAAACTGTTGAAAGACATTATACTATTTATTGGGCCACATCTTTAATAGAGGAATATAATACCAATCATGCACACAACCCTTACACGTGTGTAAATACCACATGAATCTCTGCATGAATTGAGAGGGGGCTGCACATGAGTACCTACTGCACCTCATTTAATTCTCTCCTTGATTCAGGGAGACAGAGGGTTTCCCTGTTTTGAGGTGAGGAAGCTTGGACAGGGAGTGCTATCGCCACAGCCACACCACAGGGCTTGGGCTCCCGCACTCCATTCCCACTTCTGGAAGACATGCCAGAGGTGCCATCCTGACAAGGCACCAAAGGCTGAGACACCCTGTATTATCTGATGGAATCTAGGCTTAAGCATTGAACAATTAAACTCCCTTCCTCTTTATTCCTGCCAATACAAAGAGCTGCCAGAGGAGCTCTTGGTCATGAGAAGTAAGCACATGCATGCCGCAGCGACAAGAGATCAGGGTCCCTGTGGCCCTGACATTCACGGGCTTTGTCCCCAGAGTGCGGAGTGGGTTGCAGTAGCTTCTGAATGCCTCCCAAGTCCACTGGTGAGTCAAACTAGGAAGAAAAGCAGTAAAAGCAGAAATCATCAGTTTTTCTGGAGCACCTGGGTCTTGCTTCACTGTGGCTGGTGGTTGTATAGATTGGCTAGGGATGAATAAGTCTAAATTTCCTATTTGATGAAACATCTTATGAAGGCGCTCATCCACGTCTATTTACAGGAATAACATTCAAGAACATTTATTGAGTGGTTATCCTGTGCCAGGATCTGTTCTAAATGTTTTACACACACTAACTCATAGAAACCCATTTTGTTCTGACCATATCTACTATAGTTTTCTGGTCAAGTTTTTTTCATTTTTAAAATACTGATTTTAAAAACTAACGACTTAAAACTGCCATGCACACAAAAAGTGATCCACAAAAGATTGCTTTCCTCGTGAAGGTTGTCTCATCAACCAGCCTTTGCCTACTAACGTTAAATGGCCAATTGGGACCGACAGTTCTGAGGCTCTTCTTCCTTCACTGAGTGAGTGAGGCGGCAGGTGTTATGGGTAACACCTGTTTTGCCTCCTGAGCAGGCCCTGGTGACCTTAGCAGCACTAGCAGCCTTCTTGTCTACTCATATTATGAATAGCAAAATGACCCAGAGGACTTCATATCAATGCTATTGTATTGATGAGGAAACCAAGACATAGGAAATTAAGCAACAATGCCAAAGTCACATTCCAGAGCCTGTTCACGTATAGTTATTGTAAGGCATCAATAACTCCTCCTGCAATGCAAAGTGAGCTAGTGTTTCTGATAGCAGGGGTGGGGGGGTGGAGAACCTTTTTTTTTTTTTGGCCAAGGGCCATTTTTATATTTATATCATTCACGGGCTATACAAATTATCAACCTAAAAATTAGCCTGCTATATTTGGTCAAGCATTTCATTAATTCAACCATAATGCCTTGGCGGTGCCAGACCAAATGATTTCGTGGGCTGGACGTTCCCCACCCCTGCTAATAGGGACCCCAACCTATGGCAAGAAGCTGAATTCCAAAAGTTAAAATAAATGGGAATATTACAGTGTGGGTCAGTGTGGTAAATGCATTTGATTGCCTTTTTTTTTTTAACAGCAAAGACATTCTTTTGAATTTAGTTACCCTAAGTGGACAAAGTTGGCATTTTCTTACTTGCCATCTTCGGCTATGCCTGCCCTCTCATCTTCTTTCTTGAAGACGTCTTTGAGATTCTGCTTCTAATTGTCAGTGCTTAATTCTCCCAGATCCAAGTTCTGTACCAGGCTAGCCCATGACATTAATTGTTAACCAGCTGAACCTTTCAACAGTTGACTTAGAAAGAGCAACTCACACAGAGATGTGACCACCAAGGCTGGCTTGAGGCTCACACACACTGAGACCTGGTGCTCTGAAATGGCACCTCTCAGATACTCACCTACTCATCCCAACCCTTTAGATATAAAATTCTCTGATCATAAGAACAATTCAAATATTTACTAATTCAAAATTCCTATTCTTTTTTCAACTAAAGGATTAATGATTTATGTATTGGGAACTGAAAGCTTTTTCAAACTATCAAGTTGAGGCAAAAAAAATCTTTTTTTTGTCTCAGTACAAATCGTAATGACTTAGAAGCCCCCACAAGATTTGTGCACTTCTCAACGGGCTCTGCAATAGCCCACATGGTCCAAGTGGATTATCGGTGCTCATCACCTCAGCCCCAGCTCTGGGAGTGTGTCCTCGCCACACGTGAAGACCGGGCACATGCAGGAGTGGAGTACAAACCAAAATGGAGCGGGCGGATACAATGGAAGAACTAATGCATTTGTTAGAGGAAACACCCAGGGAGGCTGCAAGTCTTACTTTCTTTGCTCTCAAAGCTTTTAGTGGTATTGTTGAAAAATCTATATTTAAATCTATGTATAAACATCATCCTGAGCGTCTGAATAGTCTCCGAACTCAATATTTTTCACTTAATACTTTTACTAGCCTTTCTGTTTCTTTATACTTTCTAGCAGTGATATGAAATGTCTGAATGGAAGGGTATAATGAAAAAAAAAGCCAACAATACATCTCTAAAAGGCTTTATATTAAAGATGTGAAGAGAAAGAGGGATTAAAAATATTTTTCTATTTAAAATCAGTAAACATAAAAACATGTCAACAGTAAATATAGATCAAGTTGTTTCTGGTGCTGGTGCTTTTAAGGATTAAAACAAACTGATGATATAAGTAGTAAGTAAGCTGCAGTTATAAATACATTATGGTAATTGCTCTTAAATGCATATGCTGAGTTTGTTTTCTGGACAACTGGAAAAGATCTATTCTTATTATAAACTAGAGGCCCAGTGCGTGAGATTCGTGCACTCGGGGGGGGGGGGGGGGATCCCTCAGCCCAGCCTGCACCCTCTCACAGACCAGGAGCCCTCGGGGGATGTATGACTGACAGCATAGGCCCACTCCAGACAGCCTTAGCACTGCTGAGGAGGTGGGAGAGGCACCCGTCACCGCTGCTGTGCTTGCCAGCTGTGAGCCTGGCTTAGGACTTCTGGCTGAGAGGCGCTCCCCCTGTGGGAGAGCACTGTCCACCAGGGGGCAGCTCCTGCATTGAGCGTCTGCCCCCTGGTGGTCAGTGCATGTCATAGTGACCAGTCATTCTGCCGTTCAGTCAATTTGCATTCTATCTTTTTATTATATAAGACTAGAGGCCCAGTGCACAAAATTCATACACAGGTAGGGTCCCTAGGCATGGCCAGCGATCTGTGGGGTAATCGGGGAGCCCCCACTGGCACCCGCCTTGGCTGGCCTGGCACTGCCCACTTGCCAGCCCCGCCCTCCACTGCCGGTCAACTCCCTCTGAAGGCCGACCAGTGGGGTGATGAGGGGGTCCCCGCTGGCACCTGCCTTGACTGGCCTGGGGCCTGTGAGCTGGGGACAGCTCCTGCATTGAGCGTCTTCCCCCTGGTGGTCAGTGCACGTCATAGCGACCGGTCATTTCGCCAGTGGTTCCACCATTCAGTTGATTTGCATATTGGGCTTTTATTACATAGGATTATGAGTTATTGTCCAAATAATGCAAAGCATTAGTTTCACATGCTTTATCTTGATTAAAACTATCATAACAAAAAATTTTGATCTTGTCTTTTTAATAATTATTTATTTCAAAAGACAAACATAAAACCAATATTAACAACAACAAAAAAAGACAAACATGTTTATTGTAGAATAGAAAAATACAGATAAACAAAAAGAAGAAAGTCAGGAGACACCTCAAATTCTTCCCATCTGGAGGCGTCCATCATTAACCCCATGGTGCACAAAGCTTTCCACACTCTTTGGTGTGAAATGACATCTCCACCTTCTGAGGCCTGGCAGCCTTTACACACTCAAACACAGGTGTTTGGCCTCGTGTTCAGTTTATCTCCAGGCGAAGTCGCTCTAGCTTGCCAGACTGTTTCTGCAGATGCCACCTCCCTGTTCTCCACCATCACCCTGCCTTCATCTTCCAGCCTGAACCAAACGTTAGCAGAACCATAACCTCTCTCAATCCACCATGAAACTCCTGTTGATATTTCTCATTGGATCAGCATCATTCTCATAATTTGTGTTTTGTTCTTCACAGCTTTTTGCAATATTTGCATTTTCAACATGCGGTGGCTATTCTGGAGGCCTGCGGCTGAGTGTGGACTGTGTCAACAAGACGGACAGTAACCTCAGCATTGACATAGCGTTTGCCTACCCATTCAGGTAAGGCGTGGTGGCTCGTGCCTGCTGGCCACGCAGAGAGGGCACTATCTTCCTTCCATCGTTTCTTAAAAAGTAATGCAACCTCCCAGGGACTTCTGGGTTAACAGGAAGAATTCTGCCTGAGCCCACAAAATACCCAAACAAGTAAAATGCCCACCTGAGAAGATGTGTGAGTTGTACCTTCAAACCAGAACTGATTCTCCTCCAAAAAATTGCTAAAAGTAGTCCAATATTGGGGGCTATCAACATGGAGACCTCAGTTATACAATCCTTTCTCCCACCCATAGTCCCAATCTTACCGTCTCCTAAGTTCTAAATAGGATTAGTGTCATCTCTAACTTCATATTGACTATGCAATATTGGCTGATAATGTATCTAATAAGATTAATTTTTAATATTATTTCCAGGTGTCAGTCACTTTACTTGCTGTTTACTTGTTAATTTCATTTAGTCATCACAATGACCTTTGAGTGGAGCACAATTACCATCGCCATTTTAAAATGAGGAAACTGAGGCACAGATATGTTTGCTCACATTCCCTCGGCCAGTAAATGGCAGAGTTAGAGTTTGAGCCCACCTGGGTTGAGACCAGAGCTCATGTATCTATTGCTATACTTAGCTTGAGATAATTTCTTCAATATCTCTATAAATTCAGACTGAAGGTAATACCTTATCTTTGTCTTTGCCTTATTCACAAAATACGTGCCAGGGCTTTTCTTGAATCAGACATGTTGTGATTCCAATCCAGATCCAATGGGGATTAATTAAATTTAATTTTGAAATAATTTACTCACAAATTTTTGGCACTAGATAAGTAGTGTGATGTTTTTAAAACAACTTTTAACACAATGTTTGCATCTTATTAGTGCACTCTCTTGCTTCCTTCAATTTAACAAACATGCATGGAGTAACCACATGGAGCCAGACATGGCACTGGCCCTGGAATTGCAGAGAAAGGTAGAGATTGAACCTCAACGCTTTTCTTACTCGGGCAAGTGCAGCACTTTCCCAAGTCTCTCCATGGAGCCCTGGATTCTTCATGTTTCTAAGGAAGGAATAAAAGAAGGAGGGTGACCAAGTGGGAGGGAAGAATTTAAAAATTATATAGTCAAATAAGTTTAAGAAGACTTCTTAGCCCTTCGCTCTTCTAATGCACACTTTGAATCACTGAGAGAAGCACAGAAACGAGTTATTGAGAAAGTTGGAGCAGGGGAGGAAAGGGGCTTGAAGCATCCAGCTATTCGTTCTCAGCCCTCTTCCTACCACACACAGAGCACCCTCCCCCAGTGCATTCCCTTACCCTCCACCCAACCCTACCCTGCTGTGCTATTCCTGTGAAATCTCCTCAGAACCCTAGGTCTCCTAGAAGTAATTTAAACCACTGTGCTAAAAAGCAAGAACGCTTTTGCCACTGTGCTTACCACATCTGTAAACATTTACTGTCTACTATTCAGGAACCTACTCAGCCCACAGAGTACCTTGCAGTTTTGTCCAATTAATGCCCATCTAGGAAATACACATGTCATTCCAAAGAGGCTAGGTCTCACTAGAGGTGCAACTTCAATGATACATTTGGATATTTTAAAGTGTTGTGCCATTATCTTCTTGGAGAAGATCTGAGTAGTAAGCAACGGCATCGAGAACTTAGGCAGATTATTTTGAAGTCATTAGTATCAAAAGAAGTTGGGTTAGCAAGATGTTAGGGATGTATATCATAAAAAAGTTATTTTCTCCTGGAACTTCATAAGCCATTGCCAATGATTTGATCATAATCTTGAAATAAAATGAGAGCACTCAGCTGCTTCAAACTATTCAGTCTGTTGCAAACATAAGGAACACAATAAACTCTAATGCCAAGTCATTGGAACAAAAACAATTACAGTAGTTCTCCCTTATCCTCAGGGGATACATTCCAAGACACCGGTGGATGCATGAAATTTCAGAGAGTACCAGGCCCTATAGTATTTATAGGGCCTATAAATACATATCTATGATAAGATTTAATTTATAAATCAGGCACAGTAAGAGATTAACAACAATAAAATGGAATGATTGTAACAATGTGGTGTGATAAAAGTTGCATGAGTTGCACTGTACTCCCCCTTCTTGTGAGGATGTGAGACGATACAATGCCCATGTGATAGATGAATTAAAGTGAATGAGGCATTATTAAGTAAAGTAAGGCTGACTTGAGTACAGCCATCTCCATATTGCTGCAGTCCATCTAATAACTGAGTCGGCTGCTAGGTAGCTGGGAGCGTCTACAGCAGAGACGCTGGACAAAGTGATGATTCACATCCTAAGCAAGACAGACACCGATGGCATGGGTTGCATCACACTACCTAGAGCAGCACGCAGCTTAAAGCCTATGAATTATTTATTCCTGGAATTTCCCATTTCATATTTTCCAACCTTGGTTGGCCACAGGTAACTGAAATGTAAAAAGCGAAATTTCAGATAAGGGGGGATGGTTATCTCTTGTAAATGACCTCAAAGGAAGCTACTTAACTTTTTTTATCAGATGATCACATGTAGGATTATGTCAATTTAGCAAATGCTAGATAATTTTTCTAAATATGTGCTGCTTCCGATAAATATGCCCAACCATGCGACTCCTTCACACCACTACATGTACTCATATCAAAAGGAATTTACATTCAGCAATATATCACTTTATTATGGGAATGAAATATTTCTCACCTGACCTTCCTTTTGATTTGTGGTTAAAATGAACAAGTAACATTAGATGTTTTCTCATCTACCAAATGTACTAATCTGGTAAAAACTTTTTCTTGGGGGGAGGACTTCTGGATTTCTAGGTGGTGAGATTATGAGTGAATTAAATACAGTATTGTTTTTACATTTGTCTAGTTTTGCAGATATTCTACAATAAGCTTTCGAAATTTTTTACACTGTGAATGTACTGAGGCAACATAGTATAGCTTGAGCTATAGAGACAAACTGCCTGGGTTCAAATCCCCACGGTGCTACTACTTACTAGCATAGCTGTGTGATATTAAGAAAATTGCTTACCGTTTCTGTTCCTTATCTGTAAAACAGAGACAGTTTCACCTATTTCACAGTAGTGTTGTAGTAAATGAGCAATATATGCAAAATGCTGAACTCAAGGTATAGCATTCAATAAGGTCTCTTTTAGTATATTATTATTACTTTCATAATCAAGAAAGGGTAATTAAAATGAGAGAACTAAAAGAGATCATTATTCTACTTAAATAGCGAAATTACTCTGAACAAAAATAATCCCTTTATTATGTGACATTTCACCCAGAATGGGAGCTTCCCCAACCCTCTTTGTCCCAATATGCAACATTGAAAGGTGTGTACATATTTAACTGTCTTACATTTATTAACTTGCTCTTAGTTCTTATCTTTAAAGCTTATTTGGGTTGTCCTTGAAGGTATTATTATCAGGCTCATTGTTAGTTTCGTTTTTATTTTTTCTCTCATTAAAGTATTGAGAGAGTGGAAACCTCCCAAAGTGACAGGATGGAGGGCGCTCGGTGCCGTCAGCGTGATCCTGGTTGGTTGTTGGAATGAGTGGGATGGGAGAATGAAACTGTGAGTCTTGTGATTCTTGAAACAGAAAATTCGAAGGATGAGCCTCCGTGTGGAGGGAAAGATGAGCTGGGGCTGCTCATCTGGGCACCACTGTGCAAAGTTCTCCTTTTGTGACTCCAGCCGCCTGTCCTGCGTCAGAATTCCCCTCCGCCCGTTTGGAGCGTGGGCACAGGTGGAGGTTGATGCCAGGGGAGCTGTGGAGTCCGGGCCATTATCTAGAAATGCTGGCTCTGTCGGGGGGAAGGCATTTTTTCCTTAAGATCCACGCGCTAGAGCGGTGATAATGAACAATATTTTTTATTTTACCATAAGGGCCAATTCGGGGAAAGTAAGTATGTTATGGGCTGCAATTTTTTTTATATCTTGTGTCCAGAAAATGCTTCATTTGCAATTACATTTAAGCATTCCTTTATTGTTTCTCATAACCCAAGGATTTCACTCTTTTTGGCTAAAGTTTTAGAAACTTCATTACTACAGTATCTCATTTCAATGTGCTTTAAAGTAAACTTTGTGTGTGATGAAACCCAGTGATTCCATGGGGCACAGAGTTGGGGAGATTTGAAGGTAGAGCAGCTAAAGGGCTGATGGTGGAACTCTTGCCAAACATCTGGCTTCAAATTCCGGTTCTGCCACCCAGCAGAGGAGCAAATGATCACCTCCCTGGCTTTAGCTTCCCTGATTATAAGAAGAAAATGTATCACTTTCCTCAGAGTATGGTTGTGACGGATCAAATAAGTCATCTAAGTTAATTGTGTAACCCAGAGTCTGGCACACATCAAGTGTTCATCAGTTGTGTTATCCTGGTTGTTGATGTCGTTAATAGCACCTCGCGCAGGGAGTTGGCACCAGATGACAGCTGTGGCCAAAGACAAGGACAGCGATTTCTGCAGTGAAGAGAGGAGCTTTCATATGTAGGGAATGTCTGCAGAGATCACAGAAAATGGGGCAAAATGGCTGCTGGCATGACATGGGTCCAATGAAAAAAATAATAAATGGCAAATTATTCTACTTTCACTCCACTCTGCTGTTTGCCGTCCAACATATGAACTGCTAGTTTGGAACTCTTGTTGCAATACTTCCCCAAAGTAAGAGTGGTGGTGGAGAATTAAATAGAAGGATGTCTTGGTTTGGGTTCTCCCGGAAGCTCACCCTGATACAGACATTTGTAATTTTTTGTACAGGTGATCCCTGGAAATACCAGTAAAGTGTGGGGAGTGAGACAGGGAAAGGAAGAAAGCCAATAAAGACTGGATTAATGGGCAAGGTACCACTGTGGGCAGCTGGGGAAACCGAGACTTCTCAAAACTGTGGGTAACATGCTTCACAGGAATTCAATCAGGCAGGCGATGAAGCTGTGGTAATTATCTACCTACTCCTGTTGGCCATTGGTCAAAAGTTGCTTCTGACCATGGCCAACCAAG